TATCGAGTCGTATGATTAGCCTGAACTATCTACGAATTTTCAGATAACAAGAAAGAATAGAAAGAATAGAAAGTTCCCGTGATAAAAGAAATATCGCAGACAAAGAATAGATCATTCGTGACGTGCATTCAAAGAATTTCATACTTTTTTGTGAGAAATCAGCTACCTTTTATGGTAGAGAAATATCAATTCTATCAGAACATTTGTGAAAGATCATGGACAACGACGGCGATTACATAGTCGATAGGTACTTTGTTTCCATTGAATACAATTTAACAAAATTTGATAAAAAAGACAAATAGCATTTTTTTATTTAATGTGCTCTTCAGATTCAAGTAAAATTTAGGTAAAATTCAAGTGTTGTCTTCGTAATTGTTTTTTTTTATTTGATCCTTGTTGAGTTATCAGTTTCACTTATCTATATGAGATGTAGTGTAGTGACAATAAAATCTTATCGCGTCATATCTTATGAAAATAAGAATAAAATATTCTCACTAACATTATCCATACAATATAAATGTCCAAAATATATACCAGAGACATCCCACGAATATATGATATCTCTAAGATGTATCTTGGACATTTGCGCTGTATGGATAACGCCCTTAAGGACGGTTACAGATATTTTCTATGAAATTTTATCAAGTCAGAACAATAATGAGAAAAAGAACGTGACATTCCTATAAAAAAGTGATCGTGTTTTTTTCTAGATTATTGAATTCCTCCCAGTTTTTCGTAAGTATATTCACGACTCTTAACGTACCTCCGTCATCTCATTCTCTTCACAACCGTCTCCGCCGCCGCGCAGAGCCTTCGAAGCCTTCCACGGGCTGCAATTACCTGCAATTTGTACTGCAAGCAACATATACACACCGAGTGCGCTATCCCGCCTGTGTATGTGATGTAGTGCGCATGCAGATGTGCGTATAAACGTGTAGAAGGGTCGCTCAGTCGGATATAAGGAGAACAAAGGAGCGTTAGGGTGCACACCAGACGTCGTATACGCTTTAACACTTATTTTCAATGGTTCTGCATGATTTTTCACATTTTGTACATGAAGTTTAAGAACAAGTAATCCTTGTAAATAATATTAAGAATTTATGATAATATGGAAAAAAAAGATTCGACTTATGTAACTACATTTTTGCTACGAAACTTTCTATTTTTTGGAGATCAGGTAAAAAATCGATTATAGGGATAGAAAGATATCTGTAGGAGGTTCCTATACTGTTCCTATACTGAGAGAAAAATGACTGGTCTAACTGAAATCACATAATCACGATTCTTTTTTATCTCTTTATTTAAAGTATGAATTAATCGAAGTATTTATTATTCGAAAAAATTCTTTCAAACATAGATATATAAACAGTGAGATATGAAATTTTGTGAACAACTGATAAAGAATATTTATGAGTGGGAAGAGAAAAGATACGACGAGTAAATCAGTAGAGATAATTAGATGAAATCGATCGACTGATGTACTGGGGGACGAGGACTTTTAGAATCTTATTCCTCGAACAAACTCGAGGAAGGGTAAGACGTGGTTGGGAAGGCAGGGAAGAGGAAAACGAGGAGTAAGAAGCCAAGAGGATGCTATCTCGCGAAACGGTCTGAGATGGGCCTTATTACTGGCGGGATCAAACAGCCGTCGGGGTGTTAACTGCCCGCACAGTCGAGAGAAGAACGAAACGGCGAGAGCTAAAGTTTAACGCGCTTGGCTGACCGGTATCGAGCCGCATCCTTCTCTTCGCCTTCGTTTCTCTCCTTTTCTCTCTCTCTCTCTCTCTCTCTCTCTCATCCTTGTAGACGATGATCCACGTGGTGATCATACGCATTAATATTACCGATCCTCAAGGTTTATGTTTCTCGAATATAGTCGACTATGAGTCAATATCAAATGAATATAAGTTTCGATTATGAAATTATGAGCTTTGAATCTTTTTATTCTAACACATGTTCGAATTTGTTACGCAGCGATCCACTCGAAGATAGGTTTGTCTGCCCTTCTGGACGCATCACCCTATTGAAAGAATCTTAGAGGTAGCGTGTGCGAAGCAACTTAGATAAAAATTCATTATATAGCGCAAAAAATATTACATTATTTTTCGTTCTGTTATCACAATTCAAATTAAAACGATAAAAAAATTTTTAAATTCTTTCGAATTTCCAAATTCTATGTTGGTTCTACCTGATCAATAATATTGTACATTTGACAAGCTATTAAAGATCTTTTCTTCGCAGGAGTTGTCCACGAGTATTCAGAGAGAAAACATTCTCAAATGAAAAAACAAAGTTAGTGTTCTTGAAGAAAAAAATATTTGAGATAGGAATAAAAAATGTTTTTTCGCGAAAAAATAAAAAACAAAAATTAGTATTTTACGTATTAGTTTTTTTTTTTAAGATAATCTTAGTTTTTTACGTATAACTTCTTCAGTACTTTATATTATTTTTAATTAAGGTTTTTCAAGTCGAATGTGTTGCATTTATTTATATTTCGATAATCGTTGTCGAGATGATTTTAATGGCGTATCATGAAAATCCTCCGTGGTTTAAGGAAACAGACTAATTCTTCGACTTTTCATCTTAAATTCGAGAGTAAAAACTCTTATGAAACAAATTTAATTTTACTTTTGTGATTCTTATATTTTATAGAGAAGAATTCTTTCTCGGTACATAGCACTATTAGTCCTGTGTTTGAACTTAAATTGCCCTTTTCCTATTTTTTGATTGAATTCTTTCTCGGTTGTATCATCAGTTACTGTCGTTCCTATTGTCAACGGAATATTCATTTTAATCGAAGCAAATAGAGAATATTCATTTTAATCAAAATAAATAGAGATAAAAGCGATAGAAACGGACCAATAGAAAATACCGGCTTTAATTCTAGTTTCTTGTCGGTAACTGTCAAACAATAACTACATGACGCTTTCTAATCGGAGATTGACTCTCGACAAAACATTAGGAAAGCCGTTGCCGTTGAAAAGACAGACACCTCGCAGATTGCAGCGCGGTAAATCCAACACGTTAGGAAACGCACAGAAAGGAGCCTCCTACGTCTGTCAATAGCGCGTACGTGTAAATAATCGTCGAGCGTCCCGCGCTAACAACACGGCTTGGGCCCTTCAAACACGTGTAATCTGGTACCGTAATTTCATTTCGAAAATACGGAAAATGAGGGACATTTAAACGTTATTCTTCGGATTTCGATTGTTATCTTCGCCGGCGCACGTACGAAAACACACGGTAGACGTGCGTGCAAGCGTGAGTAAATATAGAAAATTGTTTACCAATGATTAGCCATACATCCGCGAGATAATACAGATACGCCGTGCAACCTGTATGGCCGATTTCACGCTTGGCATATGATGATCATAAAAATATGTATCCTATAACTTTTCTTAGATTTCTTATTACGTATAATACAAGAAAGTTGTTTTTCTACATTAAATTCAGACTTTGCTGATGAATTTCATTATAATTTTTATTATCTATACTCCGAGGAAAAAATGACTGATCTTACTATCTAAGTTTCTTCGAGAAAAAAGTTCTTCGAATAAAATTCCACTTGATAATGGTTGAGTCCCTCGTATTCGAGTGTTTTATTTAAGTAGAGTGCTTTTTTCTATCTATCGTCATTCTATTGTCAACATTTTCATTGGCTCGAAATTGAATAGAATGCCTTTTTCATTCTACTATCATCATTCTATTGTCAAGTGAACATTTTTATTGGCTCAAAATTAAAGAACGTGAAGGGTACGAAGAATTAAAAGAATTGAGCCTGTTGTGCTTTGTATCGTCATAAGAATAAATTGTTACTAATAAAATATATATTGTGTAGGAAGTTATTTACCTGAGAGAAGGGATCGCCCAAATTTAAGTGGAATGAAAAAACAATCATAAAGCTGGAAATAAAGAAGGAAATAAAGGAAAGAAGTAAAGAAGCTGGAAATAAAGAAGCTGGAAATAAAGAAGCTGGAAGTAAAGAAGCTGGAAATAAAGAATAATTAAAACTTGGAGCTTGCAGATGCATCAAAATTTTGATTCAAAGATCGGAATCAACCTCAAAAATACTATTTATATTCAGATCGATATTCTAACATATACACACAAACGATTACTTTTTCTTCAGAATCAGAAAGAGAAATAAACGGATGCTGCACACATCTATCGACCTTCAATCGAGATACGTAGAGCCGTATTAATAGTCGTCGCTTGAAAGAGTTGTGAAAATATTGTTTAAATTTTTCCTAATTTAATAAATTAAATAAATAATCTAATAAAAAACCGAAAAAAATGTTTAATTGTCAATCTCAACAAATTTAATGAAAAGCTATTTAATTGACGATTGATGTGAGCAAATTCAATCAAAGAGCGTTCGATTACTCAAGGTTATATAATCAATAAATTTTCAATTAAAAGATCTTCAATTGAATTGTCTCATATTAATCGTCAATTAAACACGGAAATTAATTAAAAATGTAATTATATTTGCAACTCTGCTTTTTTTTAAACTTACTTCAGGTGAGACTTATATTTAGAGTTAGATGTAAATCTTCCGACTGAATTGCGATTGCAAATATAATCTCGCGCATATATCCTGTGATAAAAATCTGAAATCTAACTTTGTATTGAGTATCTCACGCAGGAGACAAGTATCAAGTAATATTAATATAGTTGTTTAAGATGGGCCGTAGAGATCGTAGTGACGGGATCACGCAACGGAAATGTCTTGGAAAAACCCGAATAAGATCGTGATGACCCCCCACGTTAAGGTTCAGGAGAGCAGCTTGCGGGGTGAAAGGAGAGGGGACTGGGGTATACAGGGCGGGCGGTGACTAACGTTCGCACACCGCCTACCTGGCGTTTGCAACCATTGTTGAACGTCCGCCTCTAGTCCCTCTTTTATTAACGGAGGCGTGGTGGGATCGAGTAGGAAGGGATTTCGGGACGGTGAAGAAAAGCACTGCTGCCACGAGTCTCAGAACGCGGTAGAACGCGAGAGTGTTCGAATCCTCGCAGCCGCGCGTCGTATCGTTCCCTCTCGCTCTGTTCGCGTTGCGCGCGCATTATCGACGTTGAGCGAGCAAGAGGGGAGCAAGTCGGAGCTCGTGATCGTGTCAGGAAGCGAGGCCGTGCGAATCCGGTAATTATACCATCAAATTTTCGGGGTGCGCGCGACGCGATTCGTTCCCTCCATCCCGCTGTCTCAGTCCTGTTGGTTCAATATCTTCAGGTCCAGGACCTCCTCCATCTTCGCAGCCCTACCTACTCTAGGCAAGCTACCCTGAGATTCCCCTACCCTTCCCTTTTATAAACCCTTATAAGTCGTCTTAGCATACCCTCTGGTCACTTATATCCGGATAGTATGCATCGTGCCAGCATCGCGTTTGCTTCTCTCCGTTCCGATCAGTTTGCGCCGTACTCGAACGCATCAACGACATCTCATCGTCTGTTGTATCGTGTGTGACGACGACATCGACTTCAACGAGAGAGTGTATACGCACGCTCGTAGAAAGCGATCGCAAACTCGCGCCCTGGTGCACTTTGAGGAAGGAAGGGAACCCAGGATCCCGAGGATAACGCAGCAGCAGAGAGCAAGAAGGATACGGTGACTACGACGAGAGGAATCTCGTTTGATTCATTTTCACTTGCAATCTCAACGTGTGTCTCGATATTTGCTCGCGGATACTTTGATATCTAGTACTCGATATTGTTTGGACATCTCGATACTCTACCGGTACTCTAAATGAAATATACAACGTGAATCGGTAGAGAGGATCTCTGTTAATAGTCCGCGGTTCATTAACGTCGTGTGTCTACGTTACTTTGATACCTGACACAACTTTGATTGAACTTGGTGCCCCTTCCTTCGCGAAGTATCCGGCGCGAATTTGCCGACGGAGCGCGTACGTCGCGGCAGAGCGATATCTCGCTGGTGCGGCAATCGACCACGTGTTTGTGTAGTCGAGTCCGCGCTGCTGCTACGTCGCCGCGTGTATCGTGACCGCGTATTCGCGGTACCGGCAGTTTTGTGAATCTCGTTAGCGCGGACGGTCGCGCGTGCGTGTCTCTCGTCTCGTAAGTCACCGCGTGGCGGTAAAACAGCCAAAATTCGGGTAAAGAAGGAGCCAGTCCACGTTACGGATCTCCGCAACATGGAGAGAGAACCGATAAATCTGGGTAACGAAGAACACCCGGAGAACCCGGCCAGCCAAGCTAACCCGGAGAACCCGGGAGTCCCGGAGAATCCAGGACGTTCAGGAATTCCAGGGGTCGGCGGGTCCATGACGGCGAATGGAGAGGACACTCAAATGAAAGAGGAAAGTCAGCAGGTAAGTCGTTTTGTGGCTTAAACAAATACGATTTCTCTTATTTATTTTTCGCCCAAGTAAAAAAAGACGTTGCGTCTTTTGCGCACCGTTTTATATTAATCTTTCAGCGTCATTAAAAAGTGACGAATATATAAATGGTTTTACCATTTCGATCGAAATCGTTGTATCATTATAAGTATAAATTTAAAGAAACTCGCACCCGATCACTCGTGTTCGATCACTGTTTGCGTCGATTATTACGCTACGGCGTCCTTTCGACACCTTCTTTCTAATGCTGTTTACATGTATAGTCTCATATATCGCGATCTGATAAAAAAAATAATAGCTCGATTTATAGCGAGTGAACAATGTTTTCCAATTTCTTTTTGTTTCGCTATTTTCAATCGTTCTTGCTCGAAATTACAAGATCTTATTTGTGTTCAACGAGATCCTAGAACGATGATAATTGATACAGAATTCTCGTTAATTTCAAAGATATCGATGAGACAACATTCGAAATAATCTTCGAGTATAGTGCAAAGTATGTCTTGAAATGTTTAAATTAGATATACATATAATCGCGAATATGTATATGTTAAACAAATTAATATTTATACACATTTACTTCTATACGATGGAAATAAGAAACAAATGGTAACTGAAGGATACAAATATAATATCAGCATAAAAGTGACAAATTTTTATCTTATAGCACTAACAACTTAAGGGCTGAATCGATCATCGATTTATGCAAAGACATGTATAATTTTGACTTTGTATCTCGATCGCATATCATATCAGGTAGCTGAGTTCTTTGTTTTTTCAAAGACATGGATCACAAGAAACTCACGAGATAACTGAATTCTTTGCAAAGACAAAGGTCTATCAAATATGAAGTGATTTCTTGTGTGACATGATATCGTTGCCGTCGCTGCATCGTGTTTGTCTGCATCTACATTGCACTTGTGACATATGAAGATATATCAGAAATTATAACAACGCCTGTTGTATGCGCGGAGATAATCATGCACATTCCCCGGTCTCGCAAATAATTTGCATTTTAACATACGGAATTGCAGATAAGCCTGGTTTTCACGCGAGCCGATAGATGGAATATTATGATCGTGATTGAGTTCCGCGACGATAGAAATATGTAGAAACGTTTCGATCTGCTCGCCAGCGGGGATATATTAGTTTACAAACAATGAACCAATTCCGCGACGCAAGCTTATTCGCAGAACGTTTTTTCATGCACAACGAATATGTGTTTTATACTCGCGATTATTCGCGCTCGTAATATAAACCGCGTTTCAGTGTGTATATAAAAAGTCTTCGTAGAAATACCAAGGAGAGCGAGGCGAAGAGAAGTACTAGTAGCGCGTAGATCTATACTTGTAATCTAGCCTAACTGTTATTCGTGCATACGCAAATTACGTCTAGCCAGCGGTTTTTTAACGTTCGATGTAATGACCAATTTGCTCGCCGCACTTTTTGTATAAAATACCACAGTTTCGTACTTTCACAGTTTTAACCTTTGCGATTTTCTGCTCACTAAGAAAACCAGAATCGGCTTTATCGGAACATTGCGGAACATATGTCACACAAGAGATCACTTCATATTTGATAGACCTTTGTCTTTGCAAAGAATTCACTTATCTCGTAAGTTTCTTGTGATCCTTGTCTTTACAAAGAACTCGGCTACCTGACATGATATGCGATCGAGATACAAAGTCAAAATTATACATAGCGACATTTTGGTTTCGTTGGAAAGAAAAAGTAATGCAATAAAAGTGGAAATGTAAAGTGTACACGTGGCGAGATTTTGGCGATGCGCTACGATGTTTTAGCGAGCGATCGAAACGCTCATCCCTCGTGATTCGCAACAATTCGTGCGCTTGATTATTTTACGGTAAGATTCGTATCGTGACGAGCGATTGAAGCTTTCGATTTTTTGGCGCGTCCGAGCCTACATTTAGAATTATTCACGAGCGAGGTGCAATTCGAACGAGAGGAGAATCGGAGTAATAGAGGAACCTAGCATTAGAGCATCCAAGGATTTCGCGATTTAAGCGTTCCGTGCACGGAGCAAATAATTGCTGCAATCTATATTAATAGCGGCAATTTATTTGAAATCTCAAGGGGCACGAATCTGTTTACTACGATATCCATCGTGACTTTCTGACATTAACGAGCGCTCGAAAATTAATCCGCTCTTGTGTGTTCTATTTTCGTTGTTTTCTATTTAGAGAGGACTATCTTTTACATAAATAAAGTTTAAATCTTAAGGAATTATCAACATGAAACTTTTTGAAAGAGAGAGAGAGAGAGAGAGAAAGGGAGAGAGAGGAGAGAGAGAGAGAGAGGGAGAGAGAGAGAAAGAGAGAGAGATGGACAAAGTTTCAAATTACTGATGGTGCCAACGAAAATTTGTTGTTCCCTCATTTTATATTATATCTTATATACCAAATATACACATATACATATGTATATACACATCTTATATTGACGTATATTGATGGTATCGCATTTATCAGCTCCGTATTAATCGGATCTAATACAGAGAAATGAGACACGTGGTTAATCTCTAAATGTATATAATTAACTGACAGTAATTATGCACATGCAGATGATAGCGGAGAGTTCTTACGACTATCTTCTGTGTATACTCTGACACATTTCTGTTTTTCTCGATCATTAGCGTTAATGACTATATTTAATGTTCCCTTTTTTTGGCGGTTATTTGCCAAATGACTGTACTTAATACTCTTGCAATTTCATTTCTTAAATTCGTGCCCTACGACGTCGGGGACTTGACGATCTTCGCCTATGTGTGTGCGCCTTTTACGTATTTCTTACGTATATTCAGTGTGTAATTACCGTCGTAAATCATTATTTGCTAATTGTTGGTCGTGAGTGAAATTTATACAGTTTCGATTTACGCGAGAGACCAATATTATTCGTCGTTGTGTACGATTCGTTTTTTCGCATTGACACGCGAATTCGGATCTGCGCGATTTGACTGTCGGAAACGTGCTAAAAGAGCGTACCGCTGGCCGTACACTTGCGTACAGGTGCGTGACAGTGTATGTGTGTCATATGTGTGTGTGTATACACACACACATACACACACATACGCGCACGCACACACACACACACACACACACACACACACGCTAGTGAGTAAGTGTCTGATAATTTTGGTGGGACGGAAGAGGGTAACACCGGGAGACCTGTCGTGTAAGCACACTCGTCGTTGTGTAGGTATAGGTAAAGGTGTAAACAGGAGGGTCGATCGAGAATTTGTATGCGCGTTATCAGTGTGTCGACGGTACCGTGTATAGTTGTACGTAGGGAAAGAAACGGTGAACACTAAAGAAAGAAAGAGAGAGAGAGAGAGGGAGAAAGAGAGGAACAGAGAAGAAACGGAGGAGAGTAACGAAAGGGAGAGGAACACATAGAGAAGTAGTGAGCGGAGTGGCGAAAAGGGAGAAGAGAGGTTGGAGGTCGGCGGCGGCTGGCAGGGGGAGGGCAAGGGGGCAAAAGGGGGCTTGGGGGGGTCCGTTGGCTCGTCGTGTGTGCACGCACGGCGCAAGGGCGGGGATTCCCCCTTCGGCCAATCGGATCGGCTAGCGAATGCGCTCACCTACGGTATACCCGCGCCGTCACTGCTCGTTCACCTGTAGACGCCATGTCGTGACGTCACGTCTCGTTACGACGGCCCGCGGAGTTTGCGGTCGTAACGCCGCGCGCATTGTCGTCTCGCCGCGGGTACCACCTTGACCGCGAAAGTGGTCCACGAAATTCTCCGAGCCTTGATTTCCGCCGTGTGTGTTGCATAACGCTCGTAATAGCGTTCGCGCGTATACACGCGCCGCGCTCCGGTCATGCCTACGCCGTGTTACGCTCGTTGCGTATCGGAGAAACTGATAACGCGTCGCTGCGATAAGAAACGCAACGGTTGTGGTAAACGTTTAGGGAACGACTCGTGCGATTACTGCAATTTTCTATTGCGAAATGATTCACGCAGTTTTGCAAGGGACGCGCACACGGCGCCTTGTACTCGAAACCACGTGCTTGACGGAGAGTTTTCTCGCGCAAACGAACGCGCTCGTCCGCATGCGCAATCGCGCGTCGACTAAAATAGAAACCTTCGAACATTCGCATCTATGCGTCCACGTGTACCTTCCCGGAAATTCGTTCCCCATAGTATGAAAATCCGCTTACGATTTACCCGTGTCCAAACTGTATCCGATTTGCATTGTTTGTTACGTGCCTCTCTGCGACCATGAATGTTAAAGTATGTTTTGTAGGATTAGATGGATGAGGGGCTTCGAGACGAATTGGATGAGAATACAAGGATCGCTGGATCCGATAAACACGGATCTCAACTTGTCTTTGAAAAAATACTATCACGGTATATATCGTGTTTTTCCACTACCTTCCATAAAGTCTCCGTTTCTAAGCGCGTCTAAACGTTTTCCAAACTTTCAAGGCTAAAACGGTCTTTTAAGATTTCGGAATAGGCATTGGATGAAAGTAATATTAATGATACGTCTTTCTAGACGTCCCAAATGCCTCGGTATGTCTTTGTATAGAACTCAGTAAAAGATATATAGAGAAAAAGAAACATATATTACATGCTGACGAGACACTACCTGCCTGCAGAGAGTTATATGCTTCTCTATTATTCGATCGTTTTACGATAGCCTTATTTAAATTTTATAATTACATTTTGGAAGTAAAATCTCTTGTTGAGACTTTCGGTCTGCAGTCAGGGCTCATAGTTGATTTGTACCAAGGTCAAAATAGCAAGGATTAATCTTGTTTCTTTTTCTTTCTTTTCAACCTTTCTTTTCAAATCGACCATAATTGATTTCTTTTGGAAAAATGCGATTTCTAGTCAGCCAAAGATTTCACATTTAGCAAGTAACGCGCTAGATGCGTAGTCTACACTGAGAAAAAAGTATTTGTCATTTGGTGATCATCAATCACATGTAGGAAAATAGTTATTACAAATTACG